AAGGTGAAAAATTATTGACTGGATATGTGTGTGTATTGATCAAACGACAAAAAAATCTTACATGCAGTCACCGTATGTGTATTGATCGAATGACAAAAAAACCCAATGACTGCATGCAGTCACCAATAGAATCAAATTTTTCGTAAGTTACACATAGATTATTTCTCGATAACTGCATGCATTCACCAATAGAATCGAATCTTTCGTAAGTTCTAATAGATTATTTTGAACATAATTCAATCAATAAAATTATAAGTTGTAAGTTCACATAGATTATTTCCCGATGACTGCATTCAGTCACCAATAGAATCTAATATTTCGTAAGTTCATATAGATTATTTTGAACATCATACAATTAATAAAATTATAAGTTGTAAGTTCGCATAGATTATTTCTCGATGACTGCATGCAATCACCAATAGAATCAAATCTTTAGTAGGTTCATATAGATTATTTTGAACACAATTCAATCAATAAAATTATAAGTTATTTTGCAAACTAAGGAAATGCAACCAAAAATGTGCAGAAAACGAAAGCAAGATATAGTAAAGCTAAAAAATTATAGAATCGGTCTTCACAGCACTACACAGAGATGTTTGCAAGGAACATTTTGAAGATCAAAACAATCTTCAACAAAATCAATCACCAATCCACGAGCAGTTGAAGACACCAAAGCAAACTATATGTATTAAAACTATAACAACAACGAAAAAAAAAAAGGAAAACAAAAGACTTTGAGAAGAAAAGTCCTTGAATCCCACAAAAGAAACAGATGAAAAATCCGAGCAAGACACAATAAAACGCAGGATGGATCAAAGCTTGGGCAGAGATGCTTTTAGTCGAATGCGTTATCATCATCATCAGGAAGAGGTTGGCTAATTGCAGCTAAAAGTTCAGACTCGTGCCTAAACAAAATAGATTTATGAGAATTAGAATTTAAGCAATATTTTCAAACACTTGACATCAGAAGCATGTAACAAAGATCCAAAAGCAAATCCAGAATGGTAATAATTATTAATGTTTGGATTTGTTAGAGAACTTATTATTATTAAAGTTATTATCTTCTAATTTTATTCGTGAGAGGAGAAAGAGATAAGCTTACTGTTGTTGAGCAACCAAATCGATATGAACTTCAGGAGGGGCGAGAGCAGGAGACTCAACAAAGTGCAAGTTAAGATCCCTACAAACAGAGTACAAAATCAAATATCAAAGTTGAGATTTTCATAGCTAAGGCATTTTTGAAAATCAAATATCGACTTCATTTTTCCTTCAAAAAAAAAAAAAAGCATGTGAGGACATATACCCAGCAAGCTTCCGGGCAAGGTACAAGAAGGGCTTCTCGAAATTATAGTTACTCTTTGCCGATATTTCATAGTACTGCAAATTCTTCTTACGGTGGAATGTAACCTGTTTTGCCTTAACCTGCCTGTTCTTCACATCGACTTTGTTCCCACACAGCACAATTGGGATATTCTCACAGACACTGGAAATGGGTCCAAAGAATATGAATGTCAAACGATATTCAACTGCCACATTGCATGTAAATAAATAAATAAATAAAATGGGATGAAATATACCGGCAAAGATCACGGTGCCATGTCGGGACATTCTTGTACGTCAATCGAGCTGTCACGTCAAACATAATAATGGCGCACTGTCCATGGATGCTGAAAATTATTCAACAAATTACCATGTTAGTAAAACAGTAAATGCACAAAAGAAAACAAAAGGTAAATCATTTTGGCATACATCGAATAAATGGACACATACTAATATCCATCTCTAAGGCCGCCAAATTTCTCCTGACCGGCCGTGTCCCAGCAGTAAAATCTGATTTTACCGCAGTTAGTGAAGAAGTCCAATGGATGAACCTCAACACCAATAGTAGCTGTTCAATGATATGAATTAAAAAGGCTCAAACAACTCACAAAAGCAAGTTTCAACAATTTCACAGCAATTGGAGCTAAAGCAGAGATGGTGATGAAAATGTATCTCACGTTCATATTTCTTCTCGAATTCACCCGTGAGATGCCTTTTCACAAATGTGGTTTTCCCTGCAGCATCACAAGACAATTTCTCAAGCAACAAACAGAGCTTTGATCATTCATAAGCAAAAAAGCAGAGTTCCCTTCCAAATTCAAAATCTTAATATAGTTATTCTCGCAATTAAACCCTAGACACCAACAAAAGTTCTTCACAGTTCCAAATCTCAAACCACATCTATCAAACATCAAATGAGTGCAAAAAAAATTAGAAATTTACAAGGAACAAATTGCAATAAAACACAAACAATAGCACTTACCACAAGTCCACAATCAATTCAGTCGACCCATTTTCAAATCACCCAAAATGCAAAAGAAATTCAGACTAACTACACAATGATAAGTGAATCTGAGCTCAAGGGCATATGAAATTTTGAGACATAAATCACCTGTGCCTCCATCGCCGACAATCACAAGCTTGAAGCTCGGGTAATCCACCGTCTGCTGATTCGGCAACGCCTACAAAACAACCCAGCAAAACCACACACACAGGAAAACAAAACAACATTAATTTTTTTTTTTTTTAAAAAAAAATCTCAAGAAAAACCTAACAAAACCCATAAATCACCCAGAAAACACGATTTAATGCTATAACAAATCAAACAAACAGAGGCTTACCATGAGATTGCAGCTGCTACTTGAAAATCAACAACGAAATTAGAGAAACACGGATTCAGTTGGAGAAGATAGTTATCGCCGAGCTTATGTGATTTGTGATCACATATATATAAGTCCTAATAAGGCTTTTGAAAATTTGGGCGTAAGCTTTAAGCACACGCGATCAGCTGTGCATACTCTGAGTAGCCGTTTGAAAGTATTAATTTCAGTCTGTACGAATCCTGGATAATCCATGCAAGGAGCCAACCGTTAGAGTGTCATACAGACCATGTGGAGTTAATTATTTTTTCACATGAGTTACGTGCCACTATAACATTTCTATAAAGGAGTCAACAATTGACTCCACATCATTTCTCTCAATTATTATTGAGTCTTAACTATTAACTAAATAAATATTCGGCTTTAGTTGCAAAATAATTTATATACTAATGATTGTTTGTGATAATAGAACTAAAGAATTATTTGGTTTTTCTTGCAAAATAATTCAAAATAAACGTTGTGCGAAATTTAGGGAGTGTATTTAATTTCAACTTTTTACAGACTTCTTAAGACTTTCAGAATTCTGGTGTATTCAATTAGAACTTTTAGAGACTTCTGAAAAGTTTATATTTATTCAATTGAGACTTTTAAAGACTTTTAAAAAGTCCTTAAAAATCTCAGTGTATTCAATTAAAACTTTCTTAGAGTCTTTATAAGTCATCCTATATTCAAAATATGAAGACTTTGTGAGACTTTTTAAATTGTGAGACTTTTATAGACTTTTAACCAAATTAAAAAGAGAAAGTCCCAACAGAAATCTCATTGAGATTTTGGTGGACTTATGTGATTCTCTTCATGCTTCCTTTCTTTTTTCTTTATAACATGACTTTGTATCTCATATCACTTTCATGCTCTATTATTTTACTCATTTATTTTGATACCTTGTATAATTTTTATTTTCATTACATATATTTAACGTGATCTTTATTTTATATATTTTTTATTTTTATGTATGTATACCTTTATTCTTTCATTTTGTTATTGTGAATTTGATTTTTCAAAGGTTAATGCTTCCATAATTTGCACTTGCAAATAATTTATTTGTTCTCTCTTTTTTTGTCAATATTTATTTTTTAATATTAATAAAAAAAAATTATTTTCTAATAGTTTATTTGTTGATATTGAATTGTTTGAATATTATTGATATCTTTATAAGATACATTACTGTTTTTCGACAATGTTTGTATCTTCTATAGTTCGACTCGTTGAAGCTCGAATTGATTTGCTCGTTTAATAAATCTATAATCCTAAACAATTTGTTAGTGAATAACTCATTTCGCATAACAATGAGTTGATTCATAAATTTTTAGAGGATTAATATATAAAATATATTTTTTATTTATTCTTCTTGATAATAGTAATTATGTTACGTTTATTAATGTTACATTCAAACATAATATTATAACTACAAGTATATAAAAGTTTCAATAAATTTTAAAAAGTCCATTATGAAAGCCTTAAAAAGCAACTAATGAAAATTCTCTAAAAGTCTCAACAAGTCTACTCAAGTCATGAAAATTTTACAAAGTCCACAAAAATCCCAAATTTAAACAATTTTAAAAAGTCCTTAAGAATATCAATTGAATACAACCTTTATATTCCATAAATGATATTAATATAACTTATAAAGCACCGCCATATATCAGAATCGAAAAATTGTCAGGTGATTATGAAGATGCTTTCATAATTTGTTTAGTATAAAATCCTAACATACCCGATTACCAGGCATCGATTGTTGCACCAATTTTGTACGTACTGCCCAAAATAAATAGTGGTTTCCGATGTACGAAATCAGTCGTTATTGTATTGTGAGGGATAAATCCAGAAAAAAAATAAATAAATACATCACACTCCTTTTT